TTCATTTTTATCTAACCATGTCCACTCGCCCCCTGCCTGCCTCCCCGTTAAAAGGGAGCAATACAGGCTGGGCACATGGCTCACATGTATAATCCCAATACTCTGGGAGGCTGAGGTGAGAAGATCACTTGAGGCCGTGAGTTCAAGACCAGCCTATGCAATATAATGATGCCCTATCTCCACAAAATCTAAGGAAATAATGCAGTCATCCCTTTGTATCCTGGGGTATTGGTTCCAGGACATCCATGGATACCAAAATCCACACATAGTCAAGTCTCATAAAGTCACGTTGTATTTGCATATAACCTAGGCACATCTTCTCATATACTTTAATCTGTAGATTAACACCTAATGCAATGTAAGTGCTATATAAATAGCTATTATACTGTGTTGGGTTATTTTTTGTTTTGTCCTTTCTAATATTTTTTAATCCAAGCTCGGTTGACTCTGCAGATAAAGTGGACCGGAAAAGTACAGTTGTCCCTAGGTGTACAAGGGGGATTGGTTCTAGGACCCCTGCCAAAATCCACACACATATTCTAGTCCCCCAGTCTGCCTTGTGGAACCCGTGTATATGAAGAGCTGGAGTTCTGTATGTGTGGATTCCACATCCCAAGAATACAGTATTTTCTATCCAAGTTTGGTTGTTGAATCTGCAGACATGGAGGGTGGGCTGTATTTACTGGGGAAAAACTAGCATATAAGTGGACCCTCAAAATTCAAACCTGTGGTGGTAAAGTGTCAATAGTACATTTTTATTTTTTTACCAAAAGTTGTTCTCTGTAATTATGAAAGAGTAAGGGAAATGAACCCTACAATTGGATAAGTTTTGTTAATGTTCATTCTTATCCCTTAACAGTTACTATGCAAGTCAGAAGAAAACATTTGAAATTAATCCCAGACACCCGCTGATCAGAGACATGCTTCGACGAATTAAGGTAGTGTTACAGGAGTCTTCTTGCTTGTCTTTTGATTTAAATACTTTGTATCTTTTAATATTAATCTGGTGTATCTTCTTGCATCTCAGGAAGATGAAGATGATAAAACAGTTTTGGATCTTGCTGTGGTTTTATTTGAAACAGCAACACTTCGGTCAGGATATCTTTTACCAGACACTAAAGCATATGGAGATAGAATAGAAAGAATGCTTCGCCTCAGTTTGAACATTGACCCTGATGCAAAGGTTTGTATCCCCAACCTTTCCATGGAGGCTGGCTGGCTTTCTTCGTGTCTGCTCTTTCAGAATAGGCTTCTCATGATTGAAGGATGTAGCTTTGAGACATTTGCCTAATTTCTACCTTTTGAAATAATTGTATTGAGTGTTTGAATCCCTCTAGTGTTGGACACTGCACTAGATACTAAGTCCTCCTATGTCCTCTTTCCTTTTTGCCTGCCTCCCTTCATTAGCTTGACTATTCATTCTAGTTAGAGGATTTACTCTCTGGTTCTGAATAAATAGACATGACATTAATTATGATTTTATACATTGAAATGAGCAAAGTGGCAATAAATCCACAGCATTAATGGGCCCATAAATCTTGCATTTAGGTGGAAGAAGAACCCGAAGAAGAACCTGAAGAGACAACAGAAGACACAACAGAAGACACAGAGCAAGATGAAGACGAAGAAATGGATGCAGGAACAGATGAAGAAGAACAAGAAACAGCAAAGGTATAGCAAATCAAGAATGTGACTTGCATTTTCAGTTCTTACAAAGTTAGGCAGAGTTTTAGTTCTGACAAAGTTAGGACTGTGTAACTTACAGAAGTCAGACTGAGCATTTAAATCGCATCTTTCATGCATGAACCTTCTGTGAGCTAGGGGTATTTTTCTCTGCTTTTAATATCGTCTGGGTTTTTTTTTTTTTTTTAACAGGAATCTACAGTTGAAAAAGATGAATTGTAAATTATACTCTCACCGTTTGGATCCTGTGTGGAGAGGGACTTTGAAGTCATTTCTTTTGGGAGAGACTTGTTTTGGATGCCCCCCACCAGTCCCTTTCTCCCCTGCACTGTAAAATGTGGGATTATGGGTCACAGGAAGAAGTGGGTTTTTTAGTTGAATTTTTTTTAACATTCCTCATGAATGTAAATTTGTACTATTTAACTGACTATTCTTGATGTAAAATCTTGTCATGTGTATAAAAATAAAAAAGATCCCAAATACCCAGTGTCTTGACTGTCTTGCACAGAACTGCCTAATACTTGGCTGAATTTTTTTTTTTTTTTTAAATCACGTGTCTTTGGTTCTTTTTGTTAGAAAAGTGACTCAGGCTTATGAAGTTTTTTTGTTTGTTTTTGTTTTTGTTTTTTTCTTTTTTTGAGAGACAGAGTCCCCCACCTCTCCCGGCTAATTTTTGTATTTTTAGTAGAGATGGGGTTTCACCATCTTGGCCAGGCTGGTCTTGAACTCCTGACCTCCACCCCCCTCAGCCTTCCAAAAGATTTTTTTAAAAAAACAAAAGTTGAGGCAGCCATGGTGGCATAGACCTGTGGTTCCAGCTCTTCAGAAAGCTGAGGCAGGAAGATTATTTGAACTCAGGAGCTATTGAAAAACCAAAGACTTTTAAAAGTCTCCCACAGGGAGAAGAATTTCCTTAAAGATTTCCAAATATATGTAGATACTTACCCTTTCACAGAGTGAAGCTTAAGAACATGGGCAAGATTTAGTGACTCCTGAAGAAAAGAGTATATAGGGAAAAGAGTAACTTTGCAGTGGAGAAACTTGGCAGACTTACCCAAGTGATCAATGTTAATATCACCAGTGATGTGTACCCCCTGATACGATGTGAAGTGTACTGTACTTCTATGATTTCCAAAAACCTGTAACCTGAATCTAATGAGAAAAAGACATTTGGAATATGTGAAGAGTATTCTTCAAAATTTCCAGGTCATAGAAAAACAGGCTGAGAAGTAATCATGGATGGCAGAAGACTAAGGATACAGGACAACTACTAATAAATGCAGTGGGGTACCCTGGAAATAAAACGTTGTTAAGTGGAAAAACATGAAATCTGAAAGTCCAGAGTCTAGAGTATAGTTGAATATTCTATCAATATTGGGTTTTTTCATTTGTTTTGAGACTGAGTATAACTTACCCAGGCTGGAGTGCAGTGGTGTGATCTTGGCTCAACTGCAACCTCCACGTCCTGCGTTCAAGCAGTTTTCCTGCCTCAGCCTCCTGAGTAGCTCCAGCCTGGGAAACAAGTGAAATTCCATCTCAAAAAAAAAAAAAAAAAGAAAAATGTACTCTTGTTTAGGGGACAATTTTTTAATTTCACTAGTTTGTTACAGCCAACTGAAATGGTAGTCTTAAGTTTTTGTTGTTTTTACAATGGGCTAGAGAGAGATGTCTTAGCTGTATATTCAAGGATGATGTGTGTATTGGAAAATTTTGCAAAATTAATTTATGTACTACAGAGTTTCATTAGAGACTACAGTTTTTCTGATGATCTAGTACTCCTCTATGCACTACTCCTGATCAGGCTTCCCTACTCTCTACCTTAAGGTATTTTTCTAGAATTAGTTGGCAATAATCATTACCAGCCTCCCTACTAGAGTGTATATCTTCTGAAAACCACCCTGCTTTTCCCTTTATAGTAGAATGGCAGCTCAGTTACAGAAACATGGTATAATTAAGGTATAGCTTCCTTTCATGATATAGGCTTGTATTAATTGCTACTTGTAATGTTTCCCATTTTGGGGCCACTATGCATTACCATTGTTAATATTGCTATGATATACTTGTAGAAATCAAAGCTATCAGATCACACTGAATTAGTGATATCTTGACACTTTTGCTCCTCAGAATCCTACAATTACAGTTTCTAAATTTCTGTTGTTCCCAGCAGGAAACCATCATACTCCCTCAATTTTCGGTGAAAATAAACAGCTCAACCATACCTATTTTGCACAAAAACTGTTTAACTGGCCTAATTTAATTACCAAACAGGTTGCAACTGGTCTATCTTGGTCTTTAAGTTAAAAAACATCATTAGTAGGGGGTAATATTGTACTGCTTTTAATTTTTAATGCGTATATGTTACAGATTTGTTTCTCCAAGAAACACTCAAGTGCAGTTTAGTGGCGGGGGGGGGGGGTGGGGGACTGTGTTTATTAAAGCGCACCCTTGGATCAACACCTGTGGAAGGAAACGGGACTGAGCAGAGGGAGAAGTTGAGCTGCAACGCAGATCCAAAGACAGTGTCTATAAAGCCCAGAGGGAGTTGTGGTGGGCCCATCAGAGTTGCCCACCCACTCATGTGCTGAAGGGACCAGGCCTTTTCTACTCTCACCTCCAACAGTCATTGTATTTGGGCCCCTTCAGGAGGCATGGCTTTGAGCAAGACCACCACAGCCAAGGCAATCCTTCCAGAAACCGGCCATTGAAAGCTGCTGGCATGCCTGACGCTAGGGCAACAAGCCTTCCTTAGGGAGTCCGGATGGCGCATTTCCATGACCACTACAATGTATATTTTTCACAATGGGGATCAACTCAAAAAAGGAAGAAAATGTATCTTAATGGAAGTCATTTAGAACCAGCACTTAATGAAATAAAGATGGCATTTTTACTCGAGGTAAATTTTTACTTTAATAACCATAAAACTGATTTTTCACCTTCATGAAGTCATTATTTTACCAGAGACTCAGATTCAAATCATGACTCTTTCCCTCAGTAGCAGTAGCCAAACCACTTACTCTGTACCTGTAAAAGGAAAGTATGCGGTGCTTCTAAAATGTCCACTAAGTGATGGTCTATCCTCCCCTTAAGCACAAACTGGCCCTAAAGGGCAGGTCTTTTCTTCACACAAAAGGTGAGCAATGCCCCTGGCCTTTCATTTTAGAGAGTGATAAGGCGATAATGATTTTGTATCCATAAAACATATTATCAAAGCTCACCACTTTGATGTTCACTTACTAAAGTTAGTAGAGATTCAGAATTTGAAAATATCAGTTTAGCAATGAGAAATAACTCCACTTAGCAAATTCAATTAATGAAACCAGTTTTACATGATTTTTTTAATGTATATGAAATAAAGACAACCCATATAATGGACTTATAAATATTGTATTTCACATTATATTCAAGACTAAACATCTTCCAAACCATATTCATGAAGCTGATATGTGCTTTGGCAGTTTTCAGGAAGTATATATTTCAGCATATCAGTTAAACGTCCACTGAGCACCTCCTCTTGCAGTTAGCATTGGACTAAGTGCTTAAGGACAAGTAGTTTGATGCAATAAATTAAGAAACACAAATTTAAGACTTAGAATGTTATTTGCAGAATTCTTGGCATAGTTATTTAAGTTCCTCCTGTTGAGAAACTTGAGGTTTGTGTTTTCTTTCTTTCAGTCCCAAAAGCTCTGTTTTGAGTTCTCCACGCTTCGGTGGAATTTCAGGTATTGTCTGCAAAAAAACAAAACAAAAAACATAGATGTCTAACCCTTACTTAGGCTGTAATTCAATGTAACCTGAAAGACTTTAAAGAGTAAAACATAACAAAAAATCTCCCTGCATGCTACTCAATCAATGATAAATCTTTATCATGAGAACCTCTGGTTGATCTAAATAGATTTGCCTGTTCTGGATATTTTATATAAATGGAATCATATAATATGTGGCCCTCTGTGACTGGCTTCTTTCATGCAGCATAATGTTTTCAAGGTTCATCCATGTTGTAGCTTGGATCAGTATTTCATTTTTTATTACTGAATAATGCTCCATTGTATGGATACACCGTCTATCCATTCATCAGCTAATAGGTATTTGGATTTTCCACCTTTTGGATATTATGAGTAACACTGCTCTGAACATTCATATACAAGTTTCAGGTGGATATGTGTTTTCATGTTTATTGGGTATAAACCTAAAAAAGGAATTGCTGCATCATATGGTAACTCCATGGGCTTTTTTTGTTTGTTTTTTTTTTTGAGACAGAGTTTCACTCTTGTTGCCCAGGCTGAAGTGCAATGGTGCGATCTCAGCTCACTGCAACCTCCGCCTCCCGGGTTCAAGCAATTCTCCTGCCTCAGCCTCCCAAGTAGCTGGGATTACAGGCATGCGGCACCACGCCTGGCTAATTCTGTATTTTTTTTAAGTAGAGACAGGGTATCTCCATGTTGGTCAGGCTGGTCTCGAACTCCCAACCTCAGGTGATCTGCCTGCCTCTGTCTCCCAAAGTGCTGGGATTACAGGCATGAGCCATTGCCCCCAGCCAGTAATTCTATGTTTAACTGCTTGAGGAACTACCAGGCTTTTCTGAAGCCACTGCACCATTTTATATTCCCATCAGCAATGCATGAGGCTTCCAATTTCTTCACATCCTTGACAACACTTGTTATGATCTGTTTTACTATAACCATTGTAGCGGATATGATGTGGTGTTTCACTGTGGTTTTGATTTGCCTTTGTCTAGTGGCTAATGATGCTGAGCATCTTTCTGTGTGCTTACTGGTGTTCAGAAGATGACTTCAGAAAAAGAGATGAAGGAGGATGAGGGAGCCAGCCATGCAGTTACCTAGGAGCATTTCAGGCAGATGGAACCACAAGTACAGAGGACCTAAGGCAGGAGTGTGCCTTCACGTTCAAGGAGAAGCAAGGCTGTCAGTATAGCTGGTACAATGTATTCAAGGAGAGGTTAGGAAGAGACAAGGGCAGAGAAAAAAGGGAGTGGGGAGATAAAGTCTCCAGTGTTTTCTACTCTGAAATGGGAAGGCACTGGAGAGTTCTGGAGAAGAGTGGCATGGCCTCACTCAAGTGGACAAAGATGACAATGGTGGCTTTGTTGAGAATAGACCATAGGAGAGCAAGAGTGGAAGGCAGAAGACAGGTCAGAAAACTATTATAATAACAGGTGAAAGCTGACTGACAGTGGATTGAATTGGGTAGTAGCAACAGAGGTGGGGAGAAGCAGGCACATCTGGATGTACTTTTCAGGTTAATCAAGTGGGATTTGCTGATATGTACAGTATGAGAGAGGAATTAAGGACGACTCCTAGCCTTCAACTTGAACTAGAACAGAGTCATCTCCTTTGCTATTCTGATGAGCTGAGCTGGACAACTAAACAAAGCAACTGTAGCAGTTCTCCCCAAGACAGCACTGAGCACAAGTCTAGGCAGTCATAATGGTCTCCTCTGCTCTTGACTCTGCCCAGACCTTCCAGCTCTCAGACTGAAAGACTTGTGATCCAGCTTTGTTATGGTTGACAATAGTGACAGTAATTGCTGGAGCAATACCAAAAGACATAGGTAAAGAACATATAAATGTTAATACAGCACACTGCTTCCTATACACAGCCAGCCACCTGGGCCTTCAAGTTCCTATATAGATATCCCATTGCCAATGTCACTACCCAATCAAACTGAGGTGGCCTGAGACTCTTCAGTATGGCCCTTCCAAAGACTGTGGCTTCATTCTATCTCCTCCCAAGGTACAGGTAGCTGCTGCTGTAACAACCCTTGCACACTCCCAATTATAATGAAATGGGTGAATCAAACGTCAACCTCCCAAGGTCAAATCACAGGCATTCCTTCTTTTGCAAGGCCTGCCTTATGTCTATTCCTGCACAAGCTATAGACTAAACTGCATTTCTGTGAAAGGTTCTTGTCACTTTGTGTCCACTAGGTATCCTTGATGCTCAATAGAACCCTTTTTAAAAGAGAAGCACTCTGAAGTGGTAAGAAAGAGCTCTTGCAGCATTGTCTATACAAAAACTACATACTACCTAAATGTCAATAAGGGATTGATCAAACAATATATGTCATAGCTATATTATGAAATACTATGCAATAGTTAAAAGGAAGATTTAATATACACAAATGTCTATTTATGTAGATGTTAACCAAAACAGGGAAGCTGCAGAGAAATGTGTACATGAACTCCTATTCATATGAAGGAAAGACATTCCACAAACTGTGTGTGCACATGCATGCACAGATGCATTAGTCCATGTTGCACTGCTATAAAGGAATACCTGGGGCTGGGTAATTTATAAAGAAAACAGGTGTATTTGGCTCATGGTTCTGCAGACTGTACAAGCATGGCACCAGCATTGGTCCAGCTTTTGGTGAGGCCTCAGAAAGCTTTAACTCATGACAGAAGGCAAAGTAGGAGCAGGAGTGACACATGGCAAGAGAGGGAGTGAGAGAGAGAGGCCAGGCTCTTCTAAACAATCAGCTCTCATGAACTAGTAAAGTGAGAACTCACTCATCACCACAGGGAAGGCACCAAGCCATTCATGAGGGATTCATCCCCATGACCCAAATACCTCCCACCAGGTCCTACTTCCAACACTGGGGATCACATTTCAGCATGCAATCTGGAGGGGTCAAATACCCAAACCATATCAGTGGGCATTCAACAACAGTGAGAGGTAGCGAAGGATATACACCAAACAAGAAACAGTAGTTACATGTGGGGAGCAGATGGGAGAAAGGGGGTTATAAGAGGGGATTTTCACTTTTTACTCTACATACTTAAATTCAATTTGAGTGTTTTACAAGGGTACTGAATTATTTTATGAATAGGAGCAAAAAAGAGACATACCAAACAGAAAGCTTGGGCTTCAGATCCTTAAATCAATGTCTCATTAAGCGATGTGACCTTGAGAAATCACCTTCACTTTTCTGAACCTGTTTTTCAAAATTGTAATGACAATTAACTGATATCAAAAATACAAATGGGCCAGGCATGCCTGTAACCCCAGCACTGTGGGAGGCAGAGATGGGCGGATCACCTGGGGCCAGGAGCTCAAGACCAGCCAGTCCAACACAGTGAAACCCTGTCTCTACTAAAAAATAGAAAAAAAATTAGCCATGCACGGTAATGTGTGCCTGAAATCCCAACTATTCAGGAGGCTGAGGCATGAGATTTGCTTGAACCTGGAAGGCAGAGGTTGCAGTGAGCTGAGATCATGCCACTGCACTCCAGCCTGGGCGACAGAGTGAGACACTGTCTCAAAAAATAAAAATAAAACACAAGTGCAACTACGAATAGAGCCAGGCACAGTGGCTCACACCTGTAATCCCAGCACTTTCGGAGGCCAAGGTGGGGACTGCTTGAAGTCAGGAGTTGGAGACCAGCCAACAAAAAAAATTTTTGTAGAGACCAATCTCTACAAAAAATTTTAAAACTAGCCGGGTGTGATGGTGCACATTTGTCATCCCAGCTACTTAGGAGGCTGAGGCAGGAGGATTGATTGAGCCCAGAAATGTGAGGCTGCAGTGAGCTCTGATTGTACCATTGCACTCCAACCTGGGCAAGAGAATGAGAACTGCCTCTAATTTTTTAAAAATTATTTTTCAATAAAAAACTCTTAAAAAAGAAACCCAAATGGTTGATTTTCTGTGTTACCTGTCCAGGCAGAGTCCACACAGAAATGACTGCTCCCAACGCTGTGCTCCAACCCACTATTCACGCCTATGACATAACAGCATTCTTGTAATTATTTGCACCATACTCTCATCTCCACCTCCCCATGACTATAATTCCTGAAAAGAACCTTTAATTCCAGTTCCTAATTCAATGAATGCTTATTAAAATCAATTTAAATTTCTCCCTCCTTTAAATGCCTATATTCACTCATCCTTCATTCAGCAAATATTTATTGAGTGTCTGCTACATTCCAAGCAGTTGAGATACAAGAGTGAACCAGACAGACACAGTCTGGAGCTTACATTCTACTGAAGCAAACTAACAAAGAAATAAATAAACAAAACAACTGCAAACTGCAGACAAGTGCTCTATGGAAACAAAGGATGAGACAAATCGCAGAGGAGGAATTATTTGGGAGGTAGCCTAGGGACCCTCATTGCTGAAGAAGAGACCTGAGCTAAGACTTGAAGTTTTGAAGAAGGAAACCAAGCGAAATTGTGGGGGGCGGTGGGAGCATGCCAAGGATAAGAAAAAGAATGGCCCTGAAATGGGGACAAGTTTAATGAGTTTGAGAAACAGCAAGGAAGCAGGCGTGAATGTTAACAGGAGGAAGAAGTGGTCAAATAGTAGCAGATGGGCCACACGTAGGCAGCGGCCAGACTGTGTAAGACCTCACAGGCCATGCATTGCCATCGATGCAATGGGATGCCATCCAAAGGTTTTGGGCCCAGGGCAAATGTGATCCTAATTTCGTTTAAGGTCACTTTTGCTGCCCCAAAGAGAATGGAGTGGTCCGTGGGCATTTGCATTGCTATAAATGAATGCCTAAGCCTGGGTAATTTACCAAGAAAAGAGGTGTATTTGGCTCATAAAGAAAATATGAGCCCTTCCGCACTCACCAGGTCTGGTCGGTAGTACCTGTGCACCACTTCTGCCCCCGCGCACATGGCCAGGAGGCTGGCTGCGAGCATTTTCACGTAGGTGGACATGGGCACGCCCGCGGGCATGGTCGGTGGGCTGGACGGGGAGGGAAGGGGTGGTGTCAAAGGTTTCAGCTCACGACTACACCGAGTCGGGGCTGAGGCGCTCCAGCGAGCGCTGGACCCGAGATACACGGCGGAGGGAGGAGTGCGGGAGGTGCGCGCTCACGACACCTGGGTTCTCACCCAACCCCTCCTCATTTACGACCTGAGGTCACGGAGGGGACTAACGCCTTTTCCAGGCCGAGGCCCAGCCCCAATCGTTTACCAGTGAAGGGCGCCGGCCTGCGGCATTAAAGGGAGCTCTTGCTCAGCAATCGGAAGAGCGACGCCAGGTGGTTTCCCCGCGCCCTTTCTACCTCTAGGAGAAGGGGAACTGTGGACAAGTGCTCGCTTCTACAGCACATACACTAAAATTGGAACTGTGGACTTCACTCCCCTCTGCCCCTATGCACACACCCTAGAAGAAACTTTACCGGGAACTGCAGGAGTCCTGAGCAGCGGGTCTAAGGGCTGACGGAGTGGACCGAGCAGACAGCGAGCAGACCGGACCCAAAGTACAGGGACCCGGGGCCGCAGCGGACAGGAAAGCGGGAGCGCTGCCGGCGCGGGCACGTGACCCCGGCGGAAGTGGGACGCTGAGGAGAAAGCCAGTGACTTTTTTTTTTTTTTTAAGCAATTTTCACACTTTCTCAGGCCCGGGCTTCCAGCGCCTCCATCACCCTCCCTGTAGTTAAATTTTCCTGGCAGATGTGGAGTCTAAGGCCAGGCCGTGTACTATCATTACATCGTTTGTTCTTTCGTGTACACAAACGAAATTGCACGCCTTTACCACTTTTATAGGAGGGGTGGAGTCACACTTTGAGCATTTGCGTGCTTTTAAGGGAGGTCACCCTCCAGTGAGCGAAGTTAAAGGCACTCATTGTCCCTGTATCTGGCGTCTTTGGATACCCGAAATAGAGTCACATCCACACAGCTGTGTCCTTATGACCTGGTGCTACTGGGAAAGGGGAAATTTGAAACCGACATAATTTAATCCAGGCATTTTTAGATTGTTGTGATCATGGATTGATTTTAAAGTAAAAGGTTAGTGCAAGGGCCTGGCTCCATGGCTCACGCCTGTAATCCCAACACTTTGGGAGGCCGAGGCGGGTGGATCGCTTGAGGCCAGAAGTTCGAGACCAGCCTGCCCAACATGGCAAGCTGGTAAGACCTCATCACTACTGAAAAAAAAAAAAAAATACTAAATACAAAAATTAGCTGGGCGTGGTGACAGGCGCCTGTAATCCTAGCTACTCTGGAGGCTTAGGCGGCGGAATCTCTTGAACCCAGGAGGCAGAGGTTTCAGTGAGCTGAGATAGCGCCACTGCACTCCAGCCTGGGCAACGAAACAAGACTCCATCTCAAAAAAAAAAAAAAAGGGCAAGGCTGAATTCTGAAGGATTAAACTTGTATGTACGACAAATCACAATACTCATAATACTTATTTATTTGAGACGGTGTCTCGCTCTTGTCGCCCAGGCTGGAGTGCACTGGCATAATCTCGGCTCACGGCAACCTCCACCTCCCAGGTTCAAGCAATTCTCCTGCCTCAGTCTCCCGAGTAGCTGGGACTACAGGCACACGCTGCCACGCCGGGCTAATTTTTTGTATTTTAGTAGAGACGGGGTTTCACCTTGTTGCCCAGGCTGGTCACGAACTCGTGAACTCAGGCAATCTGCCCGCCTCAGCCTCTCAAAGTGCTAGGATTACAGGCATGAGCCACCATACCCGGCCCATGATACTCATATTTTTAAAGAGTTTTATGGAGGTATATTTGACATACAATAAACTGCTCATAAAGTATACAATATATTTGACATATGTGAGACCATTACCACAATGAAGATAATGAACATACCCATGACCCTCAAGTTTCTTAGTGCTTCTTTCTACTCCCTCCCTCCTCCACGGCCTCATTTCCCTGGGTAATCACAGATCTGCTTTCTGTCACTATAAATGAGTTTGCATTTTCTGGACTGCTACATAAATAGAATTATACAGTATGTACTATTTTTTGTGTTGCTTATTTCATGCAGCACAGTTCTTTTGAGATTCATCCATGTTGTTGCATGTCTCAGTATTTCACTCTTTATTGCTAGGTGGGTTAAAACTATAATTGGTTTATCTATTCACTTATTGGTGAACATTCTGGTTGTTGCCAGTTGTCGGTGTGAAAATAAATAAAATTTAAAAGATGGTGGAACCAAAAAAAGCCACTGTAAGCCTTGAGAGAGATGTGACTAATCTCAGTCACATATGATTACAACTTCTGTTCTCAGATTATATATTAACTCATTTTCTTACTTTTCTTGTTCTATATGACTAGAAAAAAATGATGCCAATGACAGAAACCTCCTGCCTTAATGACCCTTGTTACAGATTAATTTCCCCTTTATTGTCCTGCTTTGCTGAGACCAGATAACAGAAAACCCGAGCGTTACACCCTCTGTAAAAAAATGTTAAATGCACCTTTCCCAGACAGAAACACTGCGTATAACCAACCAAATTGCTCTTTGTGCCAATCTTGTATGAAAAGTATTGCAATCCTGCTAAAAAACTACTCTCTCTGCCTGTATGAATGAAATCTTCAGTTTCTTACTTCAGAACGCTGACTCGATTCCTTTGGCATCAGTGTTTCTGGGTGATGCATTCTCACTCTTTGTACTTGAATAAACCCTCTTTAAGTTAGATTCTGACCCTTTGGTTATTTTAGGTTGACACTGACTGATAGATACAAAGCTACAATGAACAGTGAAGTATAACAGAAAGACTGGTATAGAAGTCTTTCTGAGAACATATGCTTCCATTTTTATTAAGTACATGTCTAGGAGAAGAATTACTAGAGCATATGGTATATATTTAACTTTTTAAGAAATAAAAGTTAAATTTATTTCTTTTATATTTAACTTTTTAAGAAATAAAAGTTAAATTTATTTTTTTATATTTAACTTTTTAAGAAATTGCCAAATGAATCTCCAAAGTAGCTATACAATTTTATTATGTTTTCCTTTTTATTGTATTTATTTTTTTGAGATGGAGTCTCAGTCTGTTGTCCAGACTGGAGTGCAGTGGCACAATCTCGGCTCACTGCAGCCTCTGCCTCCTGGGTTCCAGCGATTCTCCCACAGGATTTCGCCATGTTGGCCAGGCTGGCCTCAAACTCCTGACCTCAGGTGATCCACCCACTTCAGCCTCCCAAAGTGTTGGGATTATAGGCGTAAGCCACCACATCCAGCTTTTTTTTTTTTTTTTTTTTTTCCTGAGATGGAGTCTCACTCTGTCACCCAGGATAAAGTGCAGTGGCGTGATGTTGACTCACTGCAACCTCTGCCTCCCAAGTTCAAGCGATTCTCCTGCCTCAGCCTCCTGAATAGCTGGAATTAAAGGCTGGCACCACCACACCTGGCTAATTTTTGTATTTTTTTTAGTAGAGATGGGGTTTCACCACGTTGGCCAGGGTGGTCTTGGAACTCCTGACCTCATGTGAACCACCCACCTTAGCTTCTGAAAGAGCTGGGATTACAGGTGTGAGCCACCACACCCGGCTGAGCTGTACAATTTTACATTCCCATCAGTAGCATATGAGACATAAAAGACATAAGACATCCCCATCCAGTTCCTTCACATTCTCACCAACATCTGCTCTGGTCAGTCTTTTTTATTTTAGCATTCTAATATGTTGGTAATGGTTTCTCATTTTGGTTTTAATTTACATTTCCTCATGACTAATGACTCAGATATTTTCATGAGAAAAAAAAAACATACAAAACCTGGACACATACCCCACACCATATTAAAAATTTTAAATGGATCACAGACGTTCATGTGCTTATACAGTCATATGCTGCATAACAACATTTCAGTCAATGGACCACATACATAACCCACTAGCCCCATAAAATTACAATGAAGCTGAAAAAATCCTATAGCCTAATGACATCATAACTGTCAAACACGTGTTTGTGGTGACGCTGGTGTAAATACACTTACTGTGCTGCCAGTCATCTAAAAATATACCACATACAATCATGTATACTACATAATACTTGATAATCAATTTTGTTACTAGTATATTTACTATACTTTTGTGGTTATTTTATAGTGTACTCCTTTTATTCATTAAAAAAAAAAAAAAGTTAACTCTAAAACATCCTCGGCCAGATCCTTCAGAAGGTACTCCAGAAAGCACTGTTATCATGGGAGATGATGACTCCTTGTGGGTTACTGCCCTTGAAGACTTTCCAGTGGGACAAGATGTAGAGGTGGAGACAGTGATGTTGATGATCCTGACCCTGTGTGGGCCTAGGCTAATGTGTTTCTGTCTTAGTTTTTAACAAACTTTTTAAAAGTAAAAAAATTAAAAAGAAAAAAGGCTTATAAAATAAAGACATAATAAATTTTTTACAGCTGTATAGTGTGTTCAAGTTTTAAGCTAAGTGTCATTACAAAAAAGTCAAAAAGATTAAAAAATTAAAAAGTCTATAAAATTACAGAAAGCTAAGGTTAATATATTATTGAAGAAAGACAAATACTTTTTAATTAAACTTAGTGTAGCCTAGGTATACAGTGTTGAGAAAGTCTACAGTACTGTAATGTCCTTGCCCTTCATGTTCACTCAGCACTCACTGACACCTAGAGCAACTTGCAGTCCTGCAAGCTCCACTCATGGTAAGTGACTGCTACAATTTTTTTTTAATACTGTTTGTTTTTGTTGTTGTTTTGAGACAGAGTCTTGCTCTGTCACTCAGGCTGGAGTGCAGTGGCTCAATCTTGGCTCACTGAAACTTCCACCTGCCAGGTTCAAGCAATTCTCCTGCCTCAGCCTCCCAAAGAGCTGGGACTACAGGCACCTGCCACCACACCTGGCTAAGTTTTCTTTGTATTTTAGTAGAGATGAGGTTTTGCCATGTTGCCCAGTGTGGTCTCGAACTCCTGAGCTCAGGAGATCCACATGCCTCAGCCTCCCAAAGTGCTGAGATTATAGGCGTCAGCCACCATCCCCAGCCTAATACTGTATTTTTTCTGTACCTTTTCTATGTTTAGATACCTACTTACCATTGAGTTACAATTGCCTACAGTATTCACTATGGTAACATGCTGAACAGGTTTGTAGCCTAGGAACAACAGGCCATACAATATAGCCTAGGTATACAGTAGGCTGTACCATCTAGGTTTGTGTAAGTACACTCTATAATGTTTTCACAACGACAAAATCACCTAGTGACATTTCTCAGAATACATCCCTGTTGTTAAATGACAAATGACCATATTTTCTTGTGCTTCTACTTTCTTCGATGATGTATCTGTTCAAATCTTTTGCCCATTTTTAAAATTGAGTTGTTTTCTTATGGGTTTTGAGTGTTCTATGTTCTGGACACAAATCCTTTATCAGACATGATTTGGAAATATTTTCTCCCACTTTACTGCT